TAGATTGCTTTGGGTAGTATAGACATTTTAGTGTTTTTTCTTCCAATCCATAAGCATAGAATGCTTTTCTACTTATTTGTGGAAATAAATAATTTGATTTCTTACATCAATGTTTTATAGTTTACAGAGTACAGATTTTTTACCTCTTTGGTTAGGTTTATTTCCAGGTAGTTTATGGTTTTTGATGCTATTGTAAATGGGACTGATTCCTTGATTTCTCTTTCTCCTGCTTCATTATTGGTGTATAGAAACGCAGCAGATTTCTGTATACTAATTTTGTATTCCGCAAATTTGCTGAATTCATGTATCAGTTCTAGCAATTTTTTGTGGAGTCTTTTGGGTTTTCTGCATAAAGTATCATATCCTCTACAAATAGTGAAAGTTTACTTCTTCCTTGTTGACTTGGACGCCTTTCATTTCTTTTTGTTTTCTGATTGCTGAGGCTAAAACTTGCAGTACTATGTTAAATAGTAAGGGTGAGAATAGACATCCTTGTCTTGTTCCCAACCATACAGGAAAAGCTCTCAGTTTTTCCCCATTGAAGATGATATTAGTTGTGAATCTTTCATATATGGCCTTTATAATGTTGAGATATATTTTATCTACACCTACTTTGTTGAGGGTTTTTATAAAGAATAGATGCTATATTTTGTCAAATGCTTTTGCTGCACCTATTGAGAGGATCATAGATTCTTATCACTTTTTTGATTAATGTAGTATATCATGTTGATTGTTTTACAGATATTGAACCACTCTTGCAGTCCAGGAATAAATCTCACTCAATTGCAATGAATAATTCTTTTAATGTACTATTGGATTGGATTTGCTAATATCTTGTTAGAATTTTTGCAAATGATAGTATAACTTTACAAATATGTTAAATATTTTGTTTCCGTTCTGGCTTTTTATCTTTTCTTTATTTCCATCTTACCTATTTTAGAATTAAAATTATCTTTACTGACATTTGAGTAAAACTCTTTTCTTTCCTTAATTGATGAATTTTCTAAAATATATAAATAAGGACCAGAAAGAAATATGGTAACAGTAGAGAGAATAACATTCTAAAAACAGCTACTTCTCTGGCTCTTTTTAATAAAATTGATGACAAGAAGACTCTTTAAAAAAAATCTGTGCTTAAAAGATCAGGAGATGTGTTTTTTAACTAGCTATTAGTCAGCAAGTCTTATAATGATGGTGATAATTTTACTGACTGGAATAATTTGCTTGTTGGAATGATTTTATGTCAGTCCTTACATCAGGAGTTTGTGAACTAGACATTGAACCTCAAACAAACAATATCAATTAAGTGTCATGAACCAGGAGGTACTGAACTATAAAGTTAGTAGTATAGGAAGACAATAGATCTTTCTTTATTCAATCAAATTCTTCACACTAGTCTTTTAAATTCATCTTCTAGTTGATAACCCACTCGTCTTATCAAGATAAAAGGAAAAGCTTATGAATTTTTTATATGCTTTCCCTCCCTAATCTAAAAGTAGAAATATCTCTCAAGTAGGTATTCATATTAATTATGTATTTATTGAGTTTTTACTATGGGATATGCAGTAATCTATACACCCTACATTCCCATGAGGAAGATACCATTACTGTACCAATTTCTTATTTGAAGAAAGTGAGCTCAGACAGGCTAAAACACCATTATTTCGTTTAATATAAAATACAATCAACAATAAGAAACACCATTATTTTATGTACCACTAAGAAAAAAAAAACACTGGAACTGACATAATGAGATAATGCTCTAAGGAAAGTCCTATACTATGTAGGTATTAGTCTCACCAGCTTTTGAAATACATTATATCTATTAAGAAGGACTTGCCAATTTTTCCTGACTCAGCTGTACACCTTAACATGTGGTAGGTATCTTAAAGCTATCTCTACTTGTGGGACTCCTTTACTTAAGTTTCATAAAATGCCTGGATGTTACTTTACAAGAAAATGTGAACTACTGGTCATTCCTTCAACATCAAATATTTGCATATATGTATTTATTTATATTATACATATATAAAAACAATATAATCCCATGCTTGAATACTGCATTCATCTTTTTTGAAAAATTAACCCAGCAATCTCACTCAATAGGGACAGCACCACTAAAGTATGTAATGTAAAGTAATCATAATATGAACAGCCATGACCAAGTTTACCCATACTCAGGCATTATCTACTATGTCATAATTACATCCTCCTTTACAGTTATTTCAAGACTCCATCAAATTAATACCAACCCAAGTTTAAAGATGTTAAAATGTGAAGAAAAAAAGTATGTCTCAGAATCAAAGAAATCTAGAAGTTTGCATAAGGTATCATCTGTAGGGAGAGCTATATAATGTCCCTGATGGGTAGGCCTACTCACAGTTAGGCCTGCTAACAGATCAGAATCTATGGATAGAGAGAGGGAGCTGATGCATCATTAGCCTTTTACCCCTTGGATAACCACAGAGCACAAAGAGAAGGCTAGAGCTTGCTCTCTTTAAAACTTTTTTACCAAAGAGGGATCCCTGGGTGGCGCAGCGGTTTGGCGCCTGCCTTTGGCCCAGGGCGTGATCCTGGAGACCCGGGATCGAATCCCACATCTGGTTCCCGGTGCATGGAGCCTGCTTCTCCCTCTGCCTGTGTCTCAGCCTCTCTCTCTCCTCTCTCTCTCTGTGTGACTATCATAAATAAATAAATAAATAAATAAATAAATAAATAAATAAATAAATAAATAAATAATAAGACTTTTTACCAAAGAAAAAAAGGAAGCTAGTCTTGGGTGGCCAGTCTCTAGCACATAGTCTCACTTTTGGGCTTGGGCAAAAAGTAACAAACCCTAACAAAGAAAATTTTTCTGCCTGTGAGATCTACCACAGAGAAGCATAAATTTACCCTTAGTTCCACTTTCTACTCATTCCCAGAAAGTCATAGCATCTCTAGCCCTTCCTTGATGAGGGATTATAACCATTACTCACAGCTCAACTCCATTCTTCCTTGCATGAATTCTTTAATAGCACTGCTAAACTGACTCACAAGTAACCATCAACATAGTAGAAAAGACAGGCTGACTCCCTTATCATCAGAGAAGACATGCTCAACTTAAATTTTGTCAACATTAAAAATAAAATAAAGTAAAATAAAATAATTTCACCAACATGGCTCAGTAGATGTACTTTACTGAGAAATTCAGCTTTGGCAGATGCTAAGCCATGAAACAAGGCAAACAGTGGGAATTTTTCTAATCTAGAAGGTTCCCTAATGTATGTCCCATTATCCCTCTCTTTTCTTTCTGAACTCAGCCTGCTAATTGTTAAAGTCAAGAGTGTAGATACATAAGCTTTCTAGTGGTTCTTAATATTATATATCTATGTATAGACTTTAGAACATTTGCTTCCCCACGTCTTAGGTTTTAATTTATTTTCTTTCTTTTTTAAGGCTCCAGAAGCTCAAATAATGTTGCCATGTGAAAGGTTTACTTTTTCCTTCTAGGAAAAATCATTGTCCATAGCCCTGAACTTTATAAATGCCAAGTAATTCTTTAATTGGTTCTTGCAACTTGGTCTCATATACTGCAGCTGAATAAAAAAATAACTATTTATAATACCCAGAGAAAACTTCCTGTAACAACACCCAAATCATACTGCCTTTTCAATTCTTACCCTACTCTAATGCATTTTTTACACAAAGTCATGTTTTAAAGTTCTTAAAACATAATTTTATTATTTAGATTGACTTCCTATTGAATTCAAAACAAACTCTAAAGTTCTTACCACGTCCCACAAGGACCTTCATGAGCTAGCCTTCGCTTGTGTTTCCAACCAAGTGTTCCTTCACTCTCCTCTCCAAGCAACTTTGCTCAAAACGCACAAGTCTTCTCTAAACTGAACATACCCAAAAGTTCACTGCCTCAAGATGTTTCCGCATGTGTCTCTTATGCCCAGAATTTTCTTCATGACCATTCATCAAATGGATAATTCCTTCTTTTGCTTTAGGGTTTTCCATTTAAATGCTCTCTGTTCAGTGATGCTTGCTTTTACCCCATATCTAAACTACATTTTACATGGAATTTTCTCTACACAATTGTTAATCAGGTTTTTTTTTTAATCTCTGCACTTTTTAAGACCTGAGATCCACACAAGAACATAGCTCCATAAAGGCACAGGTGTTAGTATTATATCTTCAATACAGTTCTGCCCACAAGGTACAGGAAAAGGATAAGAGAAAGCAAATTGAATATAGAATCACTTAGGAGCTGGAGGTTTTTTTAGGGCACCTGGAAGGCTCAGTTGGTTGAGCTTTTGACTCTTGTTTTCAGCTTAGGTCATGATCTTAGGGTCATGGGATTGAACCTTATGTCTAGTTCCATGCTAAGCAAGGAATAGGTTTGAGATTCTTTCCTTCTCCCTTCCTCTTTCTACTTCTCCCCCTCTGCTCCCACCCCACCCCCACTTTCTCTATCTAATAAATAAATACAATCTTAAAAAAATTAAATAGTTGAATTTTTTAATCCCACTATGTCTTTATTGTAGGCCATGTTTCTCACTTAGAGGAGCAAAGAATTCTTCTCCATTTGATATTGAGAGAGTTTCCATAAAATATGATGTTTGCGAGAATATTTGTTAACTTCTAGAGTTCTCTGCTAAATCATTTAAGCATAATAAAAAGATGTTAACACCTGTAAGCCTTCTCATTAAATGTCTTATTTATTTCTTCAGGGAAAGAACAAACACAAAGTAAAACTAAAAGAAATAGAAGGAAGACACTAGTACCATCCTCTGACATTAACCTGTTTCTGGAAATGCCACTTAGGTAAGGATGGGTCCTATTTCCCATTATATATAAAATGAATAAGTTAATTAAGACTTCAAAAATCCCCCTCAGATTGTTTTTAATCCCTCTCAGATTTAAGTTGGACACTTTATGGTTATTTTCTTAAATCCATTGTTAGAAAAGTATATAGGTCAACTTATTTGGCTTGTTCATGTAAAATATTACTTTACCCAAATAGTAGAAAATAAATCTTTGAGACTGGTTCCAAATTCCTGATCTTTAATTTTTAATTTGAATGGATTAGGCTGTTTACGCTTCTCAGCTTTTATCTTTGCTGTACCTACATGATAACAAGTAAAAAAATCTTATATGTTTAAATAATTAAAACATATATACAAACATATGCACATATCTTAATAAACCCAATTTTTCTTTAAATGACAAGTGAGCTATTTGTAAACAAACTAAAGCCAGTCTAATTAAGCACATTCTCCCAAAACAGTGCTGTCAAAAAGAACATTCCATGATAATGAAAATTGTCCATATCTGTACTGTCTCATATTGTAACCATGAGTTATATGTGGCTATTAAATACTAGAAATGTAGCTCCTATGACTAAGTGTTTCTAATTTTCATTTAATTTGAAATTGAAATATCCACATGCTGCAAGTGACTAGTATTTGACAGCAAAGCCCTAAAATGTAAAAGACTAATCTTTAACACTGCTAAAAATATGCTGTGCCAGTAAAATGTACTGCCATTAGGAGAGTGTTTGATTTCTCTAAGGTTGCATGTTAATTTTTTAGTGTTTCCAAAAGAATTTTAATAGTTATTATTTTATCTTACAATAATTCTTTCAGAAAGTACATGTATTAAATAATGCTAGGTAAATAGATTTAAACATGCTTCATTTTAAAGAAAACTTATGAACTCTAGCACTTAAAAAATGACAAGAAGCAAAGATACCTACTAATGAAAGCCTGGCATATAAAGTATTTGGCCACATGCAGCTTCATTTATTCAAATAACATTAGCATATGTCCCCATATCTCCATGACAAAAATAAATGTAGTTCAGCCATATTCTGACAATGGGAGATGGGGGTGAGGACAAGGAATCTATCATCTTTTAATTTAATGAATTATATTTTTATAGTCACCTCGTATACTGTGTGGAAAGCATGACAATGGTATTAATGTAGACCATGCAATAAGTGAGACCAAACCAAAATAAATCCACCATTTCTGCATCCATCTTTGATCACCATCAGTGTCTTCACCGCTTTAACAGAGAAAAATTAAAAATTTCAACTTTGTGTATTCCATTACAAATAAAACCATAATCAGAGAGAAAGACAGAGAGAAGCATTTTCTGTTAATTTGTCCCTATTGTTTGTTTTGCTGATTGTAAGTCCTCCAATTACATAGTTTTCTTTTATCCTGCAGGATTCTAAATTTTTCCCTTTTCTTTCTTTTCCCACGTCTACTCAGGTAGCAAAAGTAATCGTTTGTTCTTCTTATTTTTTTTTCTCCAGCAGAAGCCATGTATTTGGAAGACTACCTGTTTAAACCTCACCTATTTTTTAAAATCATTTTTGCTCCTTTAAATCGTGCACACCTTTTAGGGTGACTCTGGTCCTTTAAGATGCACAACCAACACTTTATCTGGCATCTGACTCTTTAAATCACCTATGTTTGGATATCTCTTTCTTATAGTTCCTTCTCTGGCTCAACTCAGATGGAGTGTTAATTAATCACCCTTCTAGTGACCACCTAATGACCCATAGGACCCTTTGTTAGGCTTTGTCTTCCATCTTCGCTGTAGTTTTCCTTGGTCTGTCTTTGCAGACTTTTGCAGTGAATGGAGTGGGATAGGAATGTGAAGGATCCTGTGCTGGATTTGTTGATTTTCTCTTTTTACTCACTGTTCATTTTGCAGTTTCAACATTCTTTGTCTTTAGTCATGTTAAGGTCATTATCTTGGAAAAGTTTCCATAGTTGTGAAGTTACTTTGTATCATTTAGGGAGAAGATTTGAGAGAGTTCATTACCATATAGTTACCACTGTCTTTAGTTCCACAGGCATGTAAGACCTTGTCCAACCACCTGTTGTGGGAAAATATCCACATACTCAAGAACCACAGTTTTGAAGGTACTGGTTTCTCACAGGCAATTCTGTTGTCAACAGAGACCTGATGAGGGGCTTGCATATAGACCTTGCCTTTCATAGAAGGTGGAGAATATTCCCAGTTTTATTCATTTATGAGACAACTCCTCAGCCATTGCTACATTACTTAGGGATACTAGTTCTAACTTTCAATGCTACAAGGTTGCAATCTTGAGTTCCATTATCCAATAGGTATATATATCTGGACACGCTATGCACAAGGAGTTTCAACTCTAGATTGTCACTAGGGTTATGTGTTTCCTCACTGATTATAATATTTAGAAATTTTCTTTTCTCTCTTTGTTTCTGAATCCAGTTAAGTACTATAACCATATGCATTATGCTACATATGATTGTTACATAGGTGTAAATAATTGATAACCAAGAAGAATGAGGAAAATAAACTAAAAGTGTAAGCAAAGAACAAAGAAAAAACAAAGAGCAAGCAAAGAATTTAATAGGGTGCCCTATTACCAATAGATTCTCCTCCTACTAGAAATAATTAGGAAGTGTAATAATATAAAGATTCCATGCACAATACTAACAAAGAACTTTAAATTACTAGGAATAAGCTTAATGGAATAGTTCCAATAAAGAAAATTATAAAACTTTTTTTGAAGGGCATAAAAGAAGAAGAGAGAACACAGAGCAACATATACCATATTCTTGCATAGAAAGATGACAATTATTCCCAACTTGATACATTAAATTCAAGTATTTCAAATCAGAATGTTTTAATTATAACCTGAGATTATTATATTTATCTGAAAGAGTAATGTTGTACAAATAACCTCTGCTCTTTGGTAAATCATTTTGAGGAAGGATTTCTCCAATCAATGCTACAATCATATGGAAAGGTGTACTTATTTAAAAATTGTAGTAATGGAATGAGAATAGAGAGATCAGACAACAGATTAGAGAGACAAGATATAAGAAGGAAATCTATGTATATAAGAAATTTATGATATAGACAATGTATAATTTCAGTAAAACATAAATTAATTTTAAAAAATGGATTGATCCATAAGTGTCATCAGTACAATGAGATATCCCTTTGAGGGGAAAAACATAAGCTTGATTCATTTGTCATATTAAAAAATAAATGGAAACTGGACATTGCATTTAAGTGCACAACTAAAACCAGACAAGGATATTATAAGAAAAGTACAAGCCAATATCCCTGATGAGCAAAAATCCTCAACAAAATATTAGGAAACCAATTTTAACAATACATTAAAAGGATCATAAACCACAATCAAGAGGGATTTATTCCAAGCACACAAGATGGTTCAATATCTGCATATCAATCAATGTGATACACCACATAAGCATAAAAGATAAAAATCATTTGATCATGTAGAAATATCATTTGCCAAAAGAATAAAAACTCACAACAAATTAAGTTTATAGGGAATATACATCAACATAATAAAGACCATATATGACAAAGTAAGATCAGGAGCAAGGCAAAGATGCCTACTTTTAGTCGAGACAGCAGTAGATATACTCGCCTGATCAATTAGGCAAGAAAAAGAATAAAGGCATTCAAATCAGAAAGGAATGAGTAAAATTATCTCTGAAGACGATATGACCCTAAATAAAGAACCAAGTCATGACATCATTCTATCAAGTCAGCTATTTCTGGATAATAGGGGACAGAGAATCTATAGTTGTCATACTGTCACTCTTTATTGTCTTATCAGATGCTCCCTAGTCAGAGGCAATACTGTATGAGAAACCACAGGGATGAATATGGCATCTGTGTCTTTGAATGCTGTTGCTAGAAGAAGCACTATATGTAGATGTTATAAACTAAATGTTTAGACTTTTACCCAAAGAAGACATACGAATAGGCAAAAGTAAATGAAAAGGTGCTCAACATCACTGATCATCAGTGAAATGAAAACCAAAACCACAATGAAGCTATCACTTTATAACTGTCAGGATGCCTATTTAAAAAAAGAAGAAGAAAGAGAAAGAGAAGAAGAAAGAAGATAGAAGAGGTGGGGAAGAGGAAGAAGAAGAAAGAAAATAACAAGTGTTGGCAAAGATGTTGAGAAATTAGAACCCTTGTGTACTACTAGTAGGATTGTAAACGGTGCAACCATATATGGAAATTAGCATGGAACTTCCTCAAAAGTATCAAAAATAGATGATTTAATGATCCCACTTCTGGGTATATATCCCAAAGAAGTGAAAATATAATTTTTTTAGATTATTTATTTATTGGAAATATTTATTTATTTATTTATTTATTTATATAAACATATTTAAAAATATATCAATTCAACATTTATTTTGATAGATAGATAGACAGATATTTGTTATTTATTTGAAAAGAGAGAGCACAAGCAAGAAGGAGAGGGAGAAGCAGGCTCCACACCAAGCAGGGAGCCCGATGTGGGACTAGATCCCAGGACACAGGGATCATGACCTGAGTCAAAGGCAGACACTTAACCAACTGAGCCACCCTGGCATCCCTGAAAATAGAATTTCAAAAAAAATATTTGCTCACCCATGTTAATTGTATTATTATTCACACTAGACAAGGGGTGGACATGTTATGTCCAAGGGGTGGACAAAAGTTAAATGCACATAGATAAATGAATAAAGAAGTATATACATGCAATGGCATATTATTTAGCCTTAAAAAGGAAGAAAATACTAGCATATGCTACAATGTGGATTAACCTTAAGGACATTATGCTAAGTGAAATAAGCCAGTTATAAAAAGACAAACTGCATGATTCTGCTTATATGAGGTCATAAAATAGACCTCATATAAATAAATATAAATAAAATAGAGTCATAGAAAGCAGAATGGTGGTTTTCAGAGGTTGAAAAGAAGCAGATAAATGGAATTTATTGTGTGATGAATATAGAGCTTAGTTTTGCAAGATGAAAAATTTCTAGCAATCTGTTGCACAACAATGTACACATGGTTAACACTCCTGTGCTATACACTTAAAGGTGATTAAGATGTAAATTTTAAGTCATATGTTTTCTCCACAAAATTTTTCAAAAACATATATGCAGAATTAGTAATAAGGTTGTCATTACAGTGTTTTTAAAATTATATTTCGAACAGTAAAGATCAAAGTGTACATTCTAGATTTACATGTACACACATGTGCATATCAGTCACATTTACATGTTTTTCCTATAAGTATGGTTATTAAAAATTAAATATATATGTTTATAGGTACAGTATCTATCCAATAAATATTTTATACAATGTAAACAACAACAGATAAGGAAATAAAATGGCTTACCTAAATGCAAAAGTACTGTTCTCAGTGCCCTTAATAAGGAGTGCTACTATCACATAACTCAAAGAATATCCAAGCACTACTGAAGATTCAATTAAGCCTGTAAAATGAATACTGATTATAAAACAACTACATAAGCTAGTTTTGTCACGATAAAAATTATATCACTGAAATAGATTACTTCTTAAAGCCTCATAGCATACTTTATCATATGAGTCAGGGTCCTCCTGAGAAACAGAACCAATAGGATATTGAGAGAGATTTTTAAGGAATTGTCTCATGCAATTTATTGGCAAGTCCAAATTTGTAGGGCAGGCTGGCAGGCTTGAAATCTAGGTAAGAGTTAAAGTTACAATATTGAGTCCATAATGAAGCTTAAAATCCACGAGGTCACCCGGAAGGATGGGAAAACTGCAGCAGAGTTTCTATGTAGCTGTCTGGAGAAAGAATTGCTTCTCTTTTGGGAAACCTCAATTTTTGCTCTGAAAGCCTTCAGCTGATTAGATAAGGCTCACTCACATAATGTAATCTGCTTTAAACAAAATCTACTAATTGTGTTACTCAGATCTAAAAAAAAGTATAGCAGAAACATCTAAACTGATGTTTGACCAAACAAATCTAAAGAAGTTAACACATAAAATCAACCATCATATGTATCATCCAATGCACATATTAAAGAAACTTAGATAAGGCAACTATACAAATCACTGTATCTCATTTAATCTGTATACTTAATGTAATATAAATATATTTTCATTTAATATAAATATAAATTCAATATACCCAATTTCACTTTAATTTGTGGAAGCTTTGTTTACTTCACCTTAGCTGCCATAGTGGCAGGGGGAGGCAATAAAGTAGATTTCTCTTTGCTGTGTGTAGATGTGCATTTTAATTACCATGCAGTAGAACCAAAAGTAAAACAGATTTGTTGCCACCCTCAGCTAACACTAATAAATCACTACAAATTTTTTTCTAAAAGCAGGCATAAATATGAATATCATCTATTTTAATTTATTGACATAACTTTCCTTATTTCTAGTGGAAAAAATATTATTTTGGGGCCACATGCTATTTACTCTTGTCATCTTGACAATACTTTAAAAAATTTAATTATAAAAACATGATAGATAACTCTGTACAGATAAATGATCTACCAAGACCAAGGCTATTGTAACATAAAGAAATACAGATCATTGTGAGATACGCCCCTGGCTAACTTACTGTAGGATATCATGGCAGAAAACACTGGAAACAGAGAAACAGAGGGTACTACACTGCAGTTAATTAAACAGCCTATCACTTCTCTACTTGGTAGGATGAACAAGATTATACTTTCATTAACTTCAAAATATCTGAGCTCCTCAAAAAGATGAAGCGAGTTAATGTACATAAAGGGCTTAGTACAAGGATGATGATGATTTCAATACCACACTGAATCAAGTACTGAGGAGGCATGAAACAATACTTCTACCCCTTATGAACATGATGGCAGCAACTTCCCAACTATGTTCCCACTTTAAACATATGACTATTCAAGCAATTCCAACAATTTGAGACTTTTTCCTAGAGAAATGAAATGTGGCGTGTACAGTTTGATATGAAAACATATGTATAAATGTTATGTGTATTATATACTAGACACATATATAGAGAGAGAAAGACTATAGTTTTTATTACTTAAGAAAGTATGTATTTGGGACGCCTAGGTGGCTCAGTGGTTGAGCACCTGCTCTCCGCCCAGGGCGTGATCCTGGAGTGCCGGGATCAAGTCCTGCATTGGTCTCCCTGCCTGGACCCTGCTTCTCTCTCTGCCTATGCCTCTGCTTCTCTGTGTGTGTCTCTCATGAATAAATGAAAAATCTTTAATAAAAAAATATTTATTTTTCCTATTTCCCTTTATCTCTTTAATGACTTTCAGATGACTTGTCTACAATTCCAAAACTTCAAGAAGTTCCTCAAAATTAGGTAGTCCAATGTGATTCTAAAGTCAAACATACCAGTTATCACTTATTATAATGATTATAGGGCCCTTATAGGGCCAGCAATTAGCATTTGCGTATCAGTTTAGATAGGTGCACCAAGGTATAAAAGCTCAATAAAAAATCAAAATAGGCCAATCATATTAGAGAGGAAAATAAGCTTACCTATATAAATACCAGCTGAGTGTGTGGCAACACTATTGCCAATAAAGACTACTCCAAGGATATAAAGAGGCATTCCTGCTATTCCCTGCACAGTCTGCCCCAGGATGAAGGAAGCTATATATTTTGTTGAGAATGATGAGGATTTCTTGCAAATCTTGGAAGTCTTCATTTCTTGGCAAATATCTTTTGAAAAGATAATTATTTTTTTGTTAAATGAGTCAAAAGTCAAACATACAAGAAATATGCAATATCTCTCATGAAATATTTTACCTTTTACAAAGCTATTTCCACCTTATTTTTTAAGTTAACATTTCATTCATACTCAATGTAGCAGTTCTAAAATCAACCATCACATTCTCAGAAAAAAAAGTTATGAAAGGAAATTTGTGGGGATACTGGAAAATATGAACATATTATAAACCAAATATAAGTGTATGCACAATAACGTATATACACAATGATGTGTGCATACCTATGCATACATATATATACACATATTATATATATATATATATATATATATATATATATATACACGTTTCTCTTAAATTTGGCATCTGGCACCCCTGACTTTTGACACCCAGGAAAAAAGTATTTCTAATATTCTAGATTATATGTATTATCAGATTATCAAATTCTGCATTATCAGTTTAGTTCTATATCGACTTTTTCAGCCATCTTCACATTAACTTTGTGTCACTCTGTTTAAACAATTTACCTTTTCAGACTCACTAACTTCTTGAATATGGGTTCATAAGGAGAAGGCATTATACAACAAAAATGTATTTGTTAGTCATTACATAGTAATTCACGAGATTTTAAATTCGTTTAGGTGGCAGTCTATTTCTTATGCTTTTTCTATTCACATGCTTGTAAAACAGTAGTAAATGAGTGTTTCTTAGAATTGCATTTGTTATTAGATTGGTATATCCAGGCAATGCTTTCAGATCATTCTGATGTGTTCATTTTGATTGGAATTTAACAAATGCTCTTAAAATATTTTCATGGAAAACTGGCTAGAATGCACACAGCAAAATAGTAGGCTAATGGAAATTTTTGTCTGGTTCAGTATCCATATCGAATGGTAGTTGACACTATGTCAAGTGGGAGGAGGTTTTAGAATTGTGATTCAAAATACTGAGGATTCAATTTTATACAGATACATTAAACTTGTGGTGACATCAGTATCAATGTGATATTTTAAATTACCTGATCTCTTAGTCCCTTGAATTCTTCTCCTCCCAAATATATGTGTTCCACTTAATTCTAAACTTTCAAAACCAACAACTACAAACCCTTCTTAATTGCAATTTCAAGCATTCCACACTCAAAACACCCCTATCTTTCTAGCTCACTTCTAGTAACCAATTCCAACAATCCTTAAAATCCACTAGGGTTTTGATCCTGCTCCTTTTCACCATCCCAATGTCCTCTCATGTCCTTAATTTCTCCCATTGACATCTTAGCACTTTTAAATCCTTTGCCCTCTTATCATGCAATCCCTTGGTAAAATTACAACCTTCATCAAATTAAATTCTCCCAGCTTTGCTATTACGCTTGTAAAGCTGAATATGGCTGGAGGAAAATAAACAACCACAAAAATCTCACTTTGAATTCATAATTATGAAACTCAAGGGTGTCATTCAGCCTCCTGATAATCAAATATGTCCCTAGTGTGCTACTCTGGACTTCTATAAAATTTAATTTGTGTGTTTCCCTTCTCCTAGCGATCAAAGTCCTGAAATCCCCTGCTGTCCAACATCTGAAAACAAATGTTTTCCACCAAGGGAACAAAATATTATAAATGTATGTGAATATAATATGGTTCATATTTTGATGATATATCAACATACTGTTTAATATATGAATTATATAGCACATAAATATATAAATTGCATTTAATATGAACTATTTACTTATATTGTGAGCACACATCATAAGCATACTTTTGAATATCATAAGCATGTATGTACACATACATACACACATTGACTTTTTCCACCATGTCTTGCTAAAGTCCAGTTTAAAGTTGCCAAAATGATTAAATACATTTTAACATTGTTATGACCTATACATACCAAGAAAGAAGCCAACACAACAGAGTCAGAAATAGTTCTGTGAAACTTCAAAAGAGCTTTTATCTACAAGCAATGGCAAAAAGATTGTGGAATAATTTTTTTAATGAACAAAGTGAAGAAGCCACTAATATTTTTAAATTCCAAGCCCTATGCCAAAGTGCAGCTCCCATTTTGAAATGGTAGGAGTCTGATCTTTCTTTTTCTGTGTGTTTGTTTACGTATTTATTTGTGCTTTTATGTATGTGTGTTGAGGTCAAAATAAAGGATTAGGGAAAATATACTGTGGGAGATATAAGGAATTACCAAAGTTCTCAAGAGGTTTATAATACATATGAAAACTGGCAAAAGAAAAACAATTTTATAAAACAATTAACCCAAAATATTCTTTCTTCTTCCTATGCCTATCTCTTATTTGAAAGTATATATGATCATGAGAAGATGAGAGAATGGCATACATATGTTAGTAGGGAGCTACAATTAATTATCTTAATAAACTTGATAATATACATAGGTACAGATGGATAGATGTACAGACCAATATTATAAACTATTTTAAGTTCCTAAGCCAATGGTTTAAGTGAATAATAAGATGTACCTTTTATAATCTTACCTTCAATGTTTATACTTGATTGATAATTTCCATCACTAAAGTATGGAAAAGCAAATAAAAGTGATCCAAATCCTACCAAAAAGGAGGAAAACGTAATCCATCTTGGTATGTTTCCTTTTCCTCCATAGTATGATATAAACACTACTATCAGGCAAGATGAAATATCATAAGTCAAAGATAACAATAAATTCTCAACGTTGCTCAGATGATAGGCCTTCTGAAAAGTATCAATGCTTAGATCTATGAGACCAAACACAATACCTAAAATATAAAAAGAAAATAAAAAGAAAGCAATAATATGCATTTTAAGAGACAAAACAGAACACCATGATACTCATTACAAACCAAAACAATTTGCATTGATTTAAGTTTATTTTACAATATTCTGACTGTTTAAGATCTATAAGCACATAATTTGACTTCTAAAATACTAATAGGCCTTAATCAATAATATGATTTGCTAACTGAATTTTTATACCAGTTTTGTATTTATTTATTGAAAAATGATGATCTTTTTTAGTCATCTTACTTAGGACTCATCTTTATTTTAATATATTGTATTTCAATTATAAAAATGAATAAATAGCAATCTAATGAATATTTATCTACAAACCAGAACAGGAAATAAAACATCAAAATATTTGAAGCCTATCATGTGTTCCCTAAACACATTCCCCTCTCTCTTTGTAACCCATATCCTGTATTTAAAGTTTATCATTTCTGACCCTTTTAAATGCTTTCTTTTTTTTTTTTTGGACAATGTGTATATCCTTGAACAATATAGAGAATTTTCATGTTCTAAACATTAAGTAAATGATATCATATACCTGTATTTCTATCCCTCTCTAACCAACTAGGAAAAAAATAATCACACTAAATATTTGAAACATAAAGAATTTAATATAGAGATTGGCTACAAAAGTAGTACGTTTGTTGGAGTGAAAAGGGAAAAGAGTTACTCATCAAAACTTATGCATTTGCAGAGCCAGAGCCATAAGCCTTGGGTGCTGAAGCACCCACTGCTGCTGCTGATGGAGCTGTTTACAGTGATGCCTGAGCACAAATCCAGGAGATCTTATTCACCTGCATTGGGCTATTGCCAAAAACATCACCAGAGACAGGAAAAAAAAACAAAAAAGAGGCTTTCCTTTGGCCCTTTTTCAAATCTACTGCTATAGCCTCTCAATGGCAACGCCTAAGTGGAAAGCAGTGAGAAAGACTGGGAAATGTAGTTTATAGGCCCCTTGGTCCCTTGTAAAGAGGAATAAGTCCAGATCATGAATAATGAAGTTTATGGCCAAAAAAAAAACAAGTAAATAGCAGCGTTCAGCCTTTAGACTACTCAGGACTCATTTTCACCCTTCTTCCTCTATTTCAACTAGCATACCAAACTAATAGCAACATTGTCATGCTTCTAACATTGCATGATTCTCATTCTTATAAAAATATTCTTACTCTTTCAAAAAAAAAAAAACAAGGACACAGAGTCCAGTCATCATAACCATCTCAAGGTAATGTTAACCCATCTTCTAGGTTAAACATAAATCTGAATGGATTTTCTTAATATAAAAAGTAAATTGCACAGGTATAAATTGTATAAAAAGTATAAAAGGTAAAAACAAATAAGTTCTCAAACATATAATAGACCTAACTAAATTGGTAAGGGAATTGTATTGAAAAAGAAACTGTAAGTCAGACTTGGAGCAACAACAGTCTGACAGATCAAGACCAGCAGGAAACAAGATATAAAAACTTTGCTGCATCAAAAAGAAGAATTTTCTTCAACTCTCATTTTAGATGTGACCAAGAACAATGGCCAAAGCAAGAAACGTCCTGTAAGCTAAATTAATATCTTTCAATAGTTACTCTGAATGTGAATGGGCTAAGTGATCCCATCAAAAGACGCAGGGTATCGGACTGGATAAAAAAGCAAAAGCCATCTATATGGTGTCTACAAGAGACTCATTTTATACCTAAGAACACCTCCAGCTTGAAAATGAAAGGGCAGAGAACTATTTACCATCCAAATGGTCCTCAAAAGAAAGCTGGGGTAGCAATCCTCAGATCAGATAAATTAGTCTACCAAAGACTGTAATAAGAGATGAAGAGGGACTCTATATAATACTTAAAGGGTCTATCTAACAATTAGGAATATTTATGCCTCTTACGTGAGAGCTGTCAAGTATATCAATCAATAATAGCCAAAGTAAAGACATAGATAGATAATAATACACTAATAGTATAAGACTTCAACACGGCACTCTCAGCAAAAGACATATCTTCTAAGCAGAACATCAACAAAGAAGGCCCTTGAATGATATACGACCAAAAATATTTCACAGACATAAACATATTTCACAGAATATTCCATCCTAATGCAACTGAATACACATTCTTCTCAAGTGCACATGGTCTCCAGAAGAGACCACATACTGAGTTACAAATCAGGTCTCAACTGAGACCAAAAGATTGGGATTGTCCTCTGCCTATTTTCAGACTACAATTCTTTGAAACTAGAAATCAATCACAAGATGAAATCTGGAAGAAACTCAAGCACATAGAGCTTAAAGAGCATCCTACTAAAAGATGAATGAGTCAACCAGAAAATTAGAAAAGAATTTTTAAAACTTATGGAAACTAATGAAAATGAAAATACAACCATTCAGAATCTTTGGGATACAGCTAAAGCAGTCCTAAGAGGGAAATACATCACAATACAAGCCTCCCTCAAAAAAATTGGAAAAAATTCAACACAAGCTAACTTTGCATCTAAAGGAACTGGAGAAAGAACAGAAAATAAAACCTAAACCAAGCAGAAGAAGAGAGATAATAAAGATTGGGGCAGAACTCAATGAAATAGAGACCAGAAGAACTGTAGAACAGATCAACAAAATCAGGAGCTGGTTCTTTGAAAGAATTAATAAGATAGATAAGCCATTAGCCAGTCTTATTAAAAACAAAAGAGAAAAGACTCAAATTAATAAAATCATGAATGGGGATCCCTGGGTGGCGCAGCGGTTTGGCGCCTGCCTTTGGCCCAGGGCGCGATCCTGGAGACCCGGGATCGAGTCCCACATCGGGCTCCCGGTGCATGGAGCCTGCTTCTCCCTCTGCCTGTGTCTCTGCCTCTCTCTCTCTCTCTCTCTCTCTCTCTCTCTCTCTCTGACTATCATAAAAAAAAAAGCTTTAAAAAAAAATAAAAAAAATAAAATCATGAATGAAAGAGGAGAGATCACAACAAATACCAAGGAAATTCAAACGATTTTAAAAACATATTATGAGCAACCATATGCCAACAAATTAGGCAATCTAGAAGAAATGGACACATTTCTGGAAAACCACAAATTACCACAATGGAACAGGAAGAAATAGAAAACCTGAACAGGCCAATAACCAGTGAGAAAATTGAAGCAGTCATCAAAAACCTCCCAAGACACAAAAGTCGAGGGCCAGATCTTCCCAGGAGAATTCTACCAAATGTTTAATGAAAGAATAATACATATTCTACTAAACCAGTTTCGAAGGATACAAAGGGAGGGAACACTTCCAAACTCCTTTTATGAGACCAGCATTACCTTGATCCCAAAACCAAAGACTCCACCAAAAAGGAAAATTATAGACCAATATCCCTGATGAATATGGGTGCAAAAATTCTCACCACAGTACTAGCCAACAGGATCCAACAGTACATTAAGAAGATTATTCACCATGACAAGTGGGATTGATCCCTGGGATGCAAGGTTGGTTCAACAGTCATAAAACAATCAATGTGATAGACCACATCAACAAGAGAAAAAAACAAGAACCATGTGATCCTCTCAACAGATGCAGAAAAAGCATTTGACAAAATACAGCATCCATTACTGATCAAAACTCTTCAGAGTATAGGGATAGAGGGAACATTCCTCAGCATCTTAAAAGCCATCTACAAAAACCCCACAGCAAATATCATTCTCAATGTGGAAACACTGGGAGCCTTTCCCCTAAGATCAGGAACAGGACAGGGATGTCCACTCTCACCACTGCTATTCAACATAGTACTAGAAGTCTTAGCCTCAGCAATCAGGCAACAAAAAGAAATAAAAGACATTCACATTGGCAAAGAAGAAGTCAAACTCTCCCTCTTCACACATGACATGATACTGTACATAGAAAACCCAAAAGACTCCACCCCAAGATTGCTAGAACTCATACAGCAATGCAGCAGTGTGGCAGAATAATCAATGCCCAGAAATTAGTGTCATTTCTATACACTGAGACTGAAGAAAGAGAAATTAATGTGTCAATCCCATTTACAATTGCACCAAAAACATAAGATACCTAGGAATAAACCTAATCAAAGAGGTAAAGGATCTATACCCTAAAAACTATAGAACACTTCTGAAAGAAATTGAGGAAAGCATAAAGAGATGGAAAAACATTGGAAGAATAAATATTGTGAAAATGTCTATGCTACCCAGGGCAATTTACACACTCAATGCAATCCCTATCAAAATACCATGGACTTTCTTCACAGAGTTGGAACAAATCATCTTAAGATTGCATGAAATCAGAAAAGATCCTGAATATTCAGGGGAATATTGAAAAAGATAACCATATCTGGGGGCATCACAATGCTGGATTTCAGGTTGTACTACAAAGCTGTGATCATCAAGACGGTGTGGTACTGGCACAAAAACAGACACATAGATCCATGGAACAGAATAAAGAACCCAGAAATGGGCCCTCAACTCTATGATCAACTAATATTCGACAAAGTAGGAAAGACTATCCACTGGAAAAAAGGACGGTCTCTTCAATAAATGGTGCTGGGAAAATTGGACATCCACATGCAGAGAATGAAACGAGACCACTCTCTTACACCAGACACAAAGATAAACTCAAAATGGATGAAAGATCTAAATGTGAGACAAGAATCCATCAAAAATCCTAGAGAAGAACACAGGCAACACCCTTTTTGAACTTGGCCACAGCAACTTCTAGCAAGACACATCTATGAAGGCAAGGGAAACAAAAGCAAAAATGAACCATTGGGACTTAATTAGGATAAAAAGCTTCTGCACAGTGAGGGAAACAGTCAACCAAACTACAAGACAACCTACAGAGTGGGAGAAGATATTTGCAAACGACATATCAGATAAAGGCCTAGTCTCCAAGATCTATAAAGAACTTATTAAACTCAACACCCAAGAAACAAACAATCCAGTCATGAAATGGGCAAAAGATATGAACAGACATTTCACCAAAGAAGACCTACACAT